AATGTCTTACTTCACTGAGCTTAGCTTGTTGTTTATTCTTTGAGTAGATTCAGTATATCATTACTTTCTTCAAAACATACTGTCGGGGAGCCTGGCTGGCTCAGTCACTAGAACATGTGACTCTTGACCTCAGGGTTGTAAGTTTGAGCCCCAAACTTGGGTGTAGAGACTACTTAAAAATAATTAAAAAAAAAAAAAAAAACCTACTGTCCAATATTTTTACCTGGTACTCTCACTCACCAGAACGTAATCTCTAAGTAAAGCAGCTATATCATTTATATACTTCATAATTTATTTGAAGAATATTTGATGAGCATCTGCTGTGTCCCAAGCACTGTACTGGGAAGCATGTGTACAGTGATTAACATGCAAGCATAGTCCCTTTCCCCATGGGACTTACAGATACAGCAAATAAATAAATATATCATGTTGGACTAAGAGTTTGCACTAATCAATACTCTTGTGACAATACTCAAGTGACATAAAACAAAACTTATACTATCTTAAGGGAAGGGTATGGAATCATAGCAATGAATGGGATAGAACTGATCTCAGAATCAGCTAGATTCAGTAACATGAATACTGTGAGTGTCTTCTTTCCCCATCTTTCATCTTGGCTTGGCTCTCCGTGTTGATATTCTCTCAGGCATTTGTATATAGAGGGTATACATACAGCTGGAAGCCCTGATGCCCTCCTTACAGCTTCACATCCAATGCCCCACTACCTCCAAGTCAGAAAACTCCAGGGAAAAATCTGTTCAACGGTTTAGCCTGGTGGCCACCCCTGAGAGCAATCACTGTGTGCCAGAGCCTGAAGTAAAATAATGGACTTGCCTGGGACAGGTGCCCACCTCTTGCAGGGGTTGGAGAAGTAGGGCGGTAATGAAACCACCAGAATCACATGGATCTGGAGCAAAGTGGTATCACAAACTGTGGTTGTGAAGGTGTGACTTTAACAGAAGTAGGGAAAGAGGCCATAAAGGACAAAACAGTGCATGCCCCCTACTGAAGTGTGATAAAGAAGAATTCACTATGCTAGAGTAAAGCAGGGAGGCCACTATATCAGACTGGGTCATAAGGGAAAGCCTCTTTAAAGAAGTGGCATCAGGGCAGCTTGGGTGGCTCGGTCAGTTAAGCATCCAACTTGTGATTTCGACTCTGGTTGTGATCTCATGGCTCATGAGATCCAGCCCCATGTGGGGCTCCGCACTCAGCGGGGAGTCTGCTTGAGATTCTCTCTCTCCCTCTGCCCCTCCCCCCACGCATGCACACTCACTCTGTGTCTCTTTCTCAAATACATAAATCTTTAAAAAAAAAAAAAAGTGGCCCCTAAGCTAAGATCTCTGAATCAGGGTAAGGGTTACCCAGGTAATCAAAAGCAAAAAGAGGTCCAGATAAAGGCAAAGACATGCAAAATCCATGAGTTGAGACAATTCATGGTGTACCTGAAGAGCTGAAAGGAAGCCAAAGTGACAGGAGCTACAGTGAGCAGAGAGGTAGGAAATGACATCAGGGAAGTAAGCATGAGTCCAAAAAGAGAAAAAGCAAGACCTAGAAGATTTTATTCAGAGTTTTTAGAAAGCTTCTTAACAAGATAAAACTTACCTGTTTTAAAGGTGGACATATACCAGTGGATAAAGACAGAGGCAGGGTGGCCATTTATGAGGCTCTTGCTCTATTCCAAGGAGAAGCAATAGTGCTTTGGACTAAGATTTTAGCAGGGAATAATTTCAAGATATTTTAGGAGGATGCCATTAACATAACCTGATGATTTGTTTAATGTGGGAGTTGAGCATAAGGGACTCCCATGATGGAAGACTAATAAAACTGCTTTTTAAAACAGGTTTAAGGAGGGCGCCTGGGTGGCTCAGTCGGTTGGGCGGCTGCCTTCGGCTCAGGTCATGATCCCGGGGTCCTGGGATCGAGCCCCCCATCGGGCTCCCTGCTCGGCGGGGAGTCTGCTACTCCCTCTCCCTCTGCCTACTTGTGTTCTCTCTCTCTCTGTCAAATAAATAAATAAAATTTAAAAAAAAAATACTAAAACAGGTTTAAGGATATCATGTAAAATTATTAATGAGAGAAACTATTAGGACAAAAATATACAACTTTTGGGGCGCCTGGGTGGCTCAGTTGTTAAACGTCTGCCTTAGGCTCAGGTCATGATCCCAGGGTCGTGGGATCGAGCCCTGCATCGGGCTC